CAATATAAATATCTCATTACTTGTTTTTATTTCGGAACTCCGATGTCGGCTCAATTTTAATTTAAAAGAGACATGAGCTCTCTTTGGAAGCGTGGACGAAAAAAAATCTTTTTTAATTCAACTATGAAGCGGACATTTCTGTTAGCTTAAAATAAATAAAAATATGAAACTCATCCACGAAAATTAATTGATAAATTGAATTTGAACGCGTTTAAATGAATATAAACACAGAACGACTAAATTATAACTTAACGAACGGAATTATTGTTTACTTGTTATATTTTATAAGCTTTCAATTAGTAAAGAGTTATAATGAAATACCTGGAACAATATTTGTAATATACTTTGTATAAAGTAACTGCTTTGTAATAAAAACAGTATTTCACAATAAAAAAAATATAAGTTTCCCAGAAGCATGAATGGATGCATGGATTAATTAATTTAAACTCATTGTCTTCAATCGCACTACTAACGACTTCACTCAAAGTTAGAACAGAAGTCTATCTCAGTGGAAGATTCTCCAACAAACTTAATCTTTAAGACGTTACCGATGAGATTCATTAGTTTTCCAGAACTAATGATATGTCTTTAAGTGTATATGGTACGTCATAACTCATGTTTATCTCTTAGTTCTAACTAGAAGATATAAGAAAAATAATGTAAAAGATGGTCATATAGTATGATGATCATTAAACTCGCTCACCTTACACAATGCTTACACACTATAATTATTGTGTCAATACGGAAGAGAATTTAAAACAACATGTTCATGTTAGGATCTGTCAAATACTATTAGAATTGCGTTTTGTATTTCTATTATATAAACCTTCAGTGAGTTTTTAACTTCAATATGATACAGTTGTTTTTCGACTAATTTTTTTCTGTAAAAATCTCGTGAAATAGATTTCATCCATCGTATACACATGAATGTAGACATGACTTGGCACTCTCGCTCCTCTCAAGAGCGGTATGATGTCAGTCGTTAATAAAATGTTGCCGAGAGATACTTGATGGAGAGGACAAGTAATGTTTCAGAATTAATGTAGCTCTACCACTATGGGAGCTCGTTTCATTCATAACACTCAATAGGATAATTATCTTTATCGTTATTCTTAGCTTCTATAATATTTTGAAGAATCGCAAGATTTCAAATCAGACGCATACAACATACTTTACGGAAGTAAAAACTCACACAAAGACAACTTCTAATGATGTATATATAAGAACGTAGTTTTTGGAAGAACGTTTCTTAAAATATGTAATATTTTGGATATTGGATTATTTTCATTAAATCTATTTTTTTTATATATGTATTTTGTTAACAAAGTTACGTCACCCTCTCTTCAAGGCTGTCAGTTACTGTCATCTTAAGTGAGTTTAATTCTCTCAAATCACTTTTTATTTGGAGGTTTCTTAAAAACATAGAAACAAGACTTTTAAAGATCTACTGAAAATATTTTCTTTGACGTTTTGGTTTTTGTTCCGAAAATATTTCATGAAATGCTTTGCAGAATGTTTTAAAATTGCGAAGCTAAATTATTTTCATTAAAATAGTACTATTCTCTTATGTTCCTAAAATTAATTCAATTTAAAAAATATATTCTTAACATACATTCTTTCCTTAATTTAATGTTTACCTTATTATTATTTATTATCTTATTCACCGTTAAATTTTTTTAATGGACTATTATTTTTTTTATATTACAAGTTTACTGTATAGTTATTATATTTTTATGAATACTTTTTTTCAAATTGTATTATAAAATTTTTGTTTTTATACTATTTTATACAAAACGGCCTCTGATTGGTAATCATTCGAGATAGCTTTTACTATATACATACATGCAGCTGTTAGTTTTGTTTCGAAATAATATTATGTGAAAATATGGTTTAATAAAAATATATGTTTAGGTTCTTGTCGAAAGCTAGTGTTATTGAGCTCACATCAGCATATTAAAAAAAATAATATCCCGATTACTGAGTTTTATACGACACTTGATAGGTTTAAGAAATATTTGCTGTGTCAGTTTCATTATGAAAATAACGAAATATCTTAACACAGAAGACTGTACACGTATTAAGAATATTTTGTTAAATGTGACTCTATTGAAAATATTTATAAATAGTGTTTCGTTAACAAACATTCTCAATATGCACAAACTGTTATGTTAACCTGAAGTATTGTAATTATTTATTACATCTCATACTTACACACGAGTCGTTAAAGACCAAGAGTCTCTGTTTATCTGTTTTATGACAGTACTCACTGAAATCTGCTTCAGTAAAAAAGAAACAAATATTGTTGACGATAGCAACCACGAGGATGAAAGGCAATATGTATTCATGTATCCTGCTCATGTAAGTGAAGGTTTTCATCTCTCTTGAATATTGCGATGTAATTTCATTCAATAACATTTTTTAGTAAGTCAATTGTTACTACGTCTTTCTCCACTTGGCGAAAGGAAAACATATTGAATATTTATTGCTTTGACTAAAGAGCTCTTTGCATGCTTAAACGATGTAACATTACTGTCATCTATATATTAATAAAGAGGAAAGATTTGTTTGTTTATTTGTTATGAATAGGCTCCGAAACTACTGAACCAATTTCAAAAATTCTTTCACCTTTAGAAAGCTACATTATTCCCGAGTAATATAAGCTATATTATATTTAAATAGAAATTAGAGATCCATACTAAAACTCGAATAATGTAACCCAAGGTGTAAAAAAATGATCTGAAAAATTCCTTACGTCGCGTGCGCTGCGAAAACTATTGATGATAGAACCAAATCATTTACTACGACTTTGCAGAACTCATTATCATCTACAAAAAGTGCCACAACAGCATATGTCTAAATATTATAGTTATGTCACAGTAAGCGGTTTATTATTCTAAAAATTTAATTTATATGCCGCCGCTTGAAAAGGCTCTTTATTTGTACCTTGGTAAATCCTTATCAAAATAAATTACATTATATTCAAGACGGCTTCAATATCTTTTCATAACTCTTTGAATTATTCAATTCGGACATTTCATTCGGAAGATATCACGAGTTTAAAAATGCAAGTATTAGAAAAAAGTCCCCTTGCTGACGCTCATCGCGCTCAGCTAGCCAGCATGCGATGTAGGCTCTATGTAAGCGTCACTGGGGTACGGAGGCGAGTCAATCACAACTAAATATTATAAATGCGAAAGTAACTCTGTCTGTCTGTCTGTTACGCTTTCCCGCTTTGACCTCTCAACCGATTTTGATGAAATTTGGCACAGACAATCTTTAGACCCTGAGAAAAGACATAGGCTACCTTTTATTGCGGAAAAAGGGATAAAGAGGTTGAAAAAATGTTGAAAGTTTGTATGGGATTTCTTAATTTTAAAAGATAAAGCCATGAAACTTTATATTTAAGCACTTGATGATAGGATATATTTAAACATTTGTTCTAGCGTTTTTGAAATTTAGACCAGTGAGGGGGTGAAATAAAGGTTGAAAATTTGTATGGGATTTCTTTATTTTAGAAGATAAAACCAGGAAACTTTATTTTTAGGATCTTGATAAGAAATGAAAAAAAACAATTTGTTCTAGCGTTTTTGAAATTTAAAATCGTTTGTTATTTTTACCACTGTGGGGGTGAAATTCTACATACGGAATTCCCGAAATTCGAACGGAACGGAACGGGAACTACGAAGCTAAACTTTTTGTATAAAAAATTTTTAACCACTGAACCTAGGAACATCATATTTAGAAGTTTTGGGTGTATCAAGTTAAAAAAAATGGCTTTTGAAGTTAAAGTTCCTTAATGAATAGGTACTCTGCATCGCCACGGCACAGTGGAAAAGCTCCATATAAAACCGTCTGCAAACCCCAAAACATGAAAGTCGTTGTTATGTAGTAAAACTAATTAATTAATTTAGTCTTATAAATAAGCTTTCTTTTCAATAGTTTTTAAATTAATTTTTGCATATCATAATATACAGGGTGACTGGTGAATTACTATCGATATTTGAGGACATGATATTTGACGATCATGTATGACGAAATAAAAATTAATATAACATAAATATTAATAAACTTCTAAGTAAAGTTAACCAAAAGTTGTGTAATTAATTACGCATCGTATGAACACCCTACAGATTACTCTACACTACACACTCACACATACGCGTGCGGCGGCGTGTTGTTGTATCAGCACGCCGCCGCACGCGTCCACACTAGGAACACTTGGAACGTGTACACACTTTATTTATTTATACGGAAATTTGGTCAAAAATTAAGTACCTATTTTTTTTACATAATTCGAATGAGAATCATGTACCGAGTATGCTCCTTAAATATTGATAGTAATTCACCAGTCACCCTGTATATTAAAAGGCATCAAAGTTGACTCATGTTCAATGGTGTTATTTTGGCCCAGTACATTAATACAATTCAACGCCACATTACGTTAAAGTTTTTTACATAAATGTATAAGTATTATATATATTTTTAATGCTAATAATATCCTTATAACGTTTCTCAAAAATAATATTTTGTATATTACATAAATAAATTACAATTGACCTCCATAGTTTAAGATGGTATAATTTTCGGGTAACTTTTTTTAACGAGACCTAACCTTTTACCGCTCTCTACCGCTGTCGAGATATTTATTGCATTACGATCTTTATACATTAGTTTACACAAAGAGCAAAAATAATTTTGCGAATACTTGCGCCTTTTTTGTTACGGTGCCGAAACATATTTAAATATATTTATATCTTTTTTTTATTTTTTAAATAAATTAATAAACATAATTTTCAAATTATTATTTTTTTATATTAAGACTTATACTTTCACATATATATGTGCAAAATTATAGATAATTCAGTTTTGAAATAACTGAGATACAGAGTTTTGAGACGAACCTACGCGATTGTCCCACTGTGCGCCGCTGCCGTTACAAGGCCGTCTGAAAACCCATTCACATGAAAGTCGTTGTTATGGAGTAAAACTAATTCATTAATTTAGTCTTATAAATAAGCTTTCTTTTCTATATTTTTTAAATTATTATTTGCAAACCATAATTTATGTATATTAAAAGGCATCAAAGTTGACTCATGTTCAATGGTGTTATTTTGGCCCAGTAGGTACATTATACTACAATTCAACGCCACATTACTTGAAGACGACGAAACTTCTCAGCATTCCATGGATTCACCGTGCGGGTGCCGGGTCCATCGCGTTGCAGGGGGAGGAGCTTCAACAGTGCCTGGGACTTGCGACCCAAGTGTAGGTTTAAGGGGCCCCTTAACTAACGCGCGTTATACGCTCACCTCCACTGTCCAAGCTCCTCTCCCTACCTAACCAAATTTGAAAAGAACCTACTAGGGCTGCCTTCGATGTACGTTCCAAGAATGCATTAATGTGAGTTCTGGACAAGCCCAAGTCCTTTAGTAGGTTATAGAGAGATTTCGCTGTTATACCTCTCGCTCCCACCTCTACCGCGTACAAATCTACTACGAACCTATTTCGAGTGAGTTCGTTTGTGAGCTCGTAATATTTGTTGACCTTGATGGTATGGTCTTTGGGGATGTTGGTTTCCCAAGGGACCGTAAGCTCTATCATCACTACGCGCTTTAAAATTCGCGAAAACAAAAATATATCCGGTCTGGAGGCCGACGCACAAATATCCTCGGGGATTTTATATTGTTTTTCATACGTGTCCATCATTATAGTCCAATCCGACGCCGCTTTAAGGATGGAGTAAGGCTTGACGTTTGATTTTGTAGCCCTAGAGCCTTCTCTCACAAAACCTACTGATCGTTCGTTTGTGGTTATTCCCTTTTGCGCTCTGGCTACCGAAAGACTAACCGCTTCACGTATGACTTCTAGAACCCTATCGTGACGACGCGAGTATTGACCGCTGTCAAGGAGTACCCTACATCCCACCAGCAGATGCTTAGCAGTTCCAACTGCCTTTCCACAGATATAGCAAGTTTTTTCGGTACTTTTACCCCATCTTACTAAATTACTCTGATCTGGGAGAGTCATCTGGAACGCATTGAGATAGAATTTTAGCAATGCTGGCGACCAATCATAAATTAAAGTGCGCCATTTTAATGCTAATGGGATGCAAAAATCTCCTATGTCTAACCACTCGTTCTGCATTTCTAAATTCATTGCATGGATCTTATATTTATCATTCTCGTCTTGCCGAATAAAAGACTTCAATATATCCGCATCTTGGACTTTCCTATTTGATCCTAACCCCGCTCTGTTACTTTGCGCTCCTATCATAAATTGCTTATGGAATTGAAGTCGTGACTCTAGCTCGGGGGCATCTTCATCTTTTGGGAGCGATGTCACTATGTCATCATGGGATTTCCCCAGGATATATCTCTTGGAAACTCTTAGGTGTTTATAGAGCTCCGATGGCCTTTTTAGACTCATCCCAAAACTATTGCTTCCCCTAAATAACGCCGATGAATCAGCCGTTAGAGCGAGCCCGAGCCACAACTTCAACATCTTTATGACGCCTGCATCTAACTTTGACAAAAGGGTTTTATTAAAATCATAGACGAGGAAAGGCCAATTCAAACGTGAAGTTAAGTAATTCTCGTAGATCCACGCTTTTTTGACGTTACTTATCAGTTGGCTATCTACCTTGTTAAGATCGTTCAAAAAGCTATCTACTATTCCTTCTAAAGATGGAGTACGGCCTATATTATCTATCTTACGACCGAGAAATTTAAATGGTGCATTTTCCGTAACCATAGAAATGCATTGACCGCCTAACGATAGTCCCGGATCGTATGAGGTGTATCTTGTATTCCGCCTACCAAGACACAGACAGTGACATTTACTGGGTTTTGTCCTCAATCCATCCGTCCACTCACAGAATTTATCCACTTCATCCAATAGTACCTGACAGTGTTTGGGGTTACGTGTCAGTATTGCGAGATCGTCAGCGAAGGCTAAAATGGATTCCGTGTATTTATTATTAAACTTAAACCGATAACCCCATTTTTTCTCGTTACAGATTAATTTGTCTACTAAGATGTTAATTACGATATTAAACGCAATTGGAGATAGACAACAACCTTGAAACAGTCCTACATTATAACTCAAACTTTTTGAAGGGCCTTCTTTAGTTATTATAGAAAACCTTAATTTTGAGTAATACGACGCGATCATATCTCTAACTAGGGGTGGAAAGTTGTACCATCTAAGCGCGAATAGCATCAACTCGTGTTGTATCGACCCGAACGCGTTCTCCAAGTCTATCCAACAAACAGTGATTTGCCGCTCGCTTTTTCTAGCATCTTTTAAACTCTCCGACAGCAAGGTGTTGTGTTCTAAGCATCCAGAAATCCCGGGTAAAAACCCTTTCTGGTGATTTGGCCTAAAATAGTTGTTGCTGAGCATGAATCGCGTCATTCTCGTTTGTAGAACCGAGAAAAAGATTTTCGATATAGTATTTGTTAAAGCTATCGGTCTAGTATCTTTCGGATCAGTAACTCGATCTTTTTTGGGAATGAGGACAAAAATTGCTTTCCCGAAGCACTCCGGGATTTGCTTCCTTGACCAGATTTTACCGTATATATTTAGGAGGTGTTTACGAACCGATGCACATTTTTTAAAGACTATATATGGGATACCATCGGGTCCCGGTGCAGATTTAGACGACTTCCTCTTGATCTGACTACTTAGTTCCTCTAGCGTTGGTGGAATGCCGTGGAATTCGATTCGAGGAAATTCAGGTTTTTGATCGTTTGGATCCCTATACCGTCTTAAACTTTTAGGCACTTCGTATGTGCTCTTAAAATGGTCGTAAATTTGATCGTTGGTCAAGAGAAGCTGTCCGCGTTCTTTCTTAAAAATGGTTTTCGAATACTCAAAAGGGTTTTTATCGAAATCTACTTCTTGTTTTGCCCGGTCAAAATTATCGCGATATTCTGCAGTTTGCGCCGATATTCCTTGGATTAATTTAAGGATTGACCTTAACGCCCTAGCTAGTTGATGACTAAGGTGATTGTCGCCTAGAGCTTTGGCTATACGTAGATTTTTTATTAATTCCCGTTTTTTCTTCCGCATTTTTAATTTGAACGAATTGTCTTTATTTTTGCGAGCATAACGATTACGTGGTGGATATTGCTCGCTAAAGTAGTCATAAACGGTATTTTGAAAAGTTTCTACCTGCGAGTTCAATTCCTGCTTCGAGCCCGGATGCTCTAACAGGACCGCTAAGTTGTCGTCATGAACTTTCCAAGTCGATTGTTTTAGATTAGGAATGCTAAGACGTGTCCTGATGTTAATGGACTCCTGGTGGTTTCCAGTTAATGGTTCACCATGGGATACATGAGGGTCAACTCTATCCGAAGTGAATGTTGTAGATCTTACCGACGATTGTCGTGCTTCAACCCCATTATGTGTTTTTAGATGTTTAATGTACCAGGCTCGTCTCTTGTAGTTTTTCCCGCACGTAGAGCATTTCAAGTCCGTATTCGCGCCGTTTTCGCCGTTAAAATCGACCGGTGGACAGTTCTTCCGCCCCCCCTCTCGGACTGTCCCAGGGGTATTTTTCTTCTTCGGACTTTTAGCTTTATGTATACCGGGTTGGGCTTGCTAGGCCGTCGCCCTCGGCTGTCTTTCCAGCAGTCATCCGTCTTTCCGGCAGTCATCCGTCTTTCCGGCAGTCAGCTGTCTTTCCAGCGTCAGCCCGACTCTCCGGGCAGTCGTTTTAAATAAGACGAAACTTCTCAGCATTCCATGGATTCACCGTGCGGGTGCCGGGTCCATCGCGTTGCAGGGGGAGGAGCTTCAACAGTGCCTGGGACTTGCGACCCAAGTGTAGGTTTAAGGGGCCCCTTAACTAACGCGCGTTATACGCTCACCTCCACTGTCCAAGCTCCTCTCCCTACCTAACCAAATTTGAAAAGAACCTACTAGGGCTGCCTTCGATGTACGTTCCAAGAATGCATTAATGTGAGTTCTGGACAAGCCCAAGTCCTTTAGTAGGTTATAGAGAGATTTCGCTGTTATACCTCTCGCTCCCACCTCTACCGCGTACAAATCTACTACGAACCTATTTCGAGTGAGTTCGTTTGTGAGCTCGTAATATTTGTTGACCTTGATGGTATGGTCTTTGGGGATGTTGGTTTCCCAAGGGACCGTAAGCTCTATCATCACTACGCGCTTTAAAATTCGCGAAAACAAAAATATATCCGGTCTGGAGGCCGACGCACAAATATCCTCGGGGATTTTATATTGTTTTTCATACGTGTCCATCATTATAGTCCAATCCGACGCCGCTTTAAGGATGGAGTAAGGCTTGACGTTTGATTTTGTAGCCCTAGAGCCTTCTCTCACAAAACCTACTGATCGTTCGTTTGTGGTTATTCCCTTTTGCGCTCTGGCTACCGAAAGACTAACCGCTTCACGTATGACTTCTAGAACCCTATCGTGACGACGCGAGTATTGACCGCTGTCAAGGAGTACCCTACATCCCACCAGCAGATGCTTAGCAGTTCCAACTGCCTTTCCACAGATATAGCAAGTTTTTTCGGTACTTTTACCCCATCTTACTAAATTACTCTGATCTGGGAGAGTCATCTGGAACGCATTGAGATAGAATTTTAGCAATGCTGGCGACCAATCATAAATTAAAGTGCGCCATTTTAATGCTAATGGGATGCAAAAATCTCCTATGTCTAACCACTCGTTCTGCATTTCTAAATTCATTGCATGGATCTTATATTTATCATTCTCGTCTTGCCGAATAAAAGACTTCAATATATCCGCATCTTGGACTTTCCTATTTGATCCTAACCCCGCTCTGTTACTTTGCGCTCCTATCATAAATTGCTTATGGAATTGAAGTCGTGACTCTAGCTCGGGGGCATCTTCATCTTTTGGGAGCGATGTCACTATGTCATCATGGGATTTCCCCAGGATATATCTCTTGGAAACTCTTAGGTGTTTATAGAGCTCCGATGGCCTTTTTAGACTCATCCCAAAACTATTGCTTCCCCTAAATAACGCCGATGAATCAGCCGTTAGAGCGAGCCCGAGCCACAACTTCAACATCTTTATGACGCCTGCATCTAACTTTGACAAAAGGGTTTTATTAAAATCATAGACGAGGAAAGGCCAATTCAAACGTGAAGTTAAGTAATTCTCGTAGATCCACGCTTTTTTGACGTTACTTATCAGTTGGCTATCTACCTTGTTAAGATCGTTCAAAAAGCTATCTACTATTCCTTCTAAAGATGGAGTACGGCCTATATTATCTATCTTACGACCGAGAAATTTAAATGGTGCATTTTCCGTAACCATAGAAATGCATTGACCGCCTAACGATAGTCCCGGATCGTATGAGGTGTATCTTGTATTCCGCCTACCAAGACACAGACAGTGACATTTACTGGGTTTTGTCCTCAATCCATCCGTCCACTCACAGAATTTATCCACTTCATCCAATAGTACCTGACAGTGTTTGGGGTTACGTGTCAGTATTGCGAGATCGTCAGCGAAGGCTAAAATGGATTCCGTGTATTTATTATTAAACTTAAACCGATAACCCCATTTTTTCTCGTTACAGATTAATTTGTCTACTAAGATGTTAATTACGATATTAAACGCAATTGGAGATAGACAACAACCTTGAAACAGTCCTACATTATAACTCAAACTTTTTGAAGGGCCTTCTTTAGTTATTATAGAAAACCTTAATTTTGAGTAATACGACGCGATCATATCTCTAACTAGGGGTGGAAAGTTGTACCATCTAAGCGCGAATAGCATCAACTCGTGTTGTATCGACCCGAACGCGTTCTCCAAGTCTATCCAACAAACAGTGATTTGCCGCTCGCTTTTTCTAGCATCTTTTAAACTCTCCGACAGCAAGGTGTTGTGTTCTAAGCATCCAGAAATCCCGGGTAAAAACCCTTTCTGGTGATTTGGCCTAAAATAGTTGTTGCTGAGCATGAATCGCGTCATTCTCGTTTGTAGAACCGAGAAAAAGATTTTCGATATAGTATTTGTTAAAGCTATCGGTCTAGTATCTTTCGGATCAGTAACTCGATCTTTTTTGGGAATGAGGACAAAAATTGCTTTCCCGAAGCACTCCGGGATTTGCTTCCTTGACCAGATTTTACCGTATATATTTAGGAGGTGTTTACGAACCGATGCACATTTTTTAAAGACTATATATGGGATACCATCGGGTCCCGGTGCAGATTTAGACGACTTCCTCTTGATCTGACTACTTAGTTCCTCTAGCGTTGGTGGAATGCCGTGGAATTCGATTCGAGGAAATTCAGGTTTTTGATCGTTTGGATCCCTATACCGTCTTAAACTTTTAGGCACTTCGTATGTGCTCTTAAAATGGTCGTAAATTTGATCGTTGGTCAAGAGAAGCTGTCCGCGTTCTTTCTTAAAAATGGTTTTCGAATACTCAAAAGGGTTTTTATCGAAATCTACTTCTTGTTTTGCCCGGTCAAAATTATCGCGATATTCTGCAGTTTGCGCCGATATTCCTTGGATTAATTTAAGGATTGACCTTAACGCCCTAGCTAGTTGATGACTAAGGTGATTGTCGCCTAGAGCTTTGGCTATACGTAGATTTTTTATTAATTCCCGTTTTTTCTTCCGCATTTTTAATTTGAACGAATTGTCTTTATTTTTGCGAGCATAACGATTACGTGGTGGATATTGCTCGCTAAAGTAGTCATAAACGGTATTTTGAAAAGTTTCTACCTGCGAGTTCAATTCCTGCTTCGAGCCCGGATGCTCTAACAGGACCGCTAAGTTGTCGTCATGAACTTTCCAAGTCGATTGTTTTAGATTAGGAATGCTAAGACGTGTCCTGATGTTAATGGACTCCTGGTGGTTTCCAGTTAATGGTTCACCATGGGATACATGAGGGTCAACTCTATCCGAAGTGAATGTTGTAGATCTTACCGACGATTGTCGTGCTTCAACCCCATTATGTGTTTTTAGATGTTTAATGTACCAGGCTCGTCTCTTGTAGTTTTTCCCGCACGTAGAGCATTTCAAGTCCGTATTCGCGCCGTTTTCGCCGTTAAAATCGACCGGTGGACAGTTCTTCCGCCCCCCCTCTCGGACTGTCCCAGGGGTATTTTTCTTCTTCGGACTTTTAGCTTTATGTATACCGGGTTGGGCTTGCTAGGCCGTCGCCCTCGGCTGTCTTTCCAGCAGTCATCCGTCTTTCCGGCAGTCATCCGTCTTTCCGGCAGTCAGCTGTCTTTCCAGCGTCAGCCCGACTCTCCGGGCAGTCGTTTTAAATAAGACGAAACTTCTCAGCATTCCATGGATTCACCGTGCGGGTGCCGGGTCCATCGCGTTGCAGGGGGAGGAGCTTCAACAGTGCCTGGGACTTGCGACCCAAGTGTAGGTTTAAGGGGCCCCTTAACTAACGCGCGTTATACGCTCACCTCCACTGTCCAAGCTCCTCTCCCTACCTAACCAAATTTGAAAAGAACCTACTAGGGCTGCCTTCGATGTACGTTCCAAGAATGCATTAATGTGAGTTCTGGACAAGCCCAAGTCCTTTAGTAGGTTATAGAGAGATTTCGCTGTTATACCTCTCGCTCCCACCTCTACCGCGTACAAATCTACTACGAACCTATTTCGAGTGAGTTCGTTTGTGAGCTCGTAATATTTGTTGACCTTGATGGTATGGTCTTTGGGGATGTTGGTTTCCCAAGGGACCGTAAGCTCTATCATCACTACGCGCTTTAAAATTCGCGAAAACAAAAATATATCCGGTCTGGAGGCCGACGCACAAATATCCTCGGGGATTTTATATTGTTTTTCATACGTGTCCATCATTATAGTCCAATCCGACGCCGCTTTAAGGATGGAGTAAGGCTTGACGTTTGATTTTGTAGCCCTAGAGCCTTCTCTCACAAAACCTACTGATCGTTCGTTTGTGGTTATTCCCTTTTGCGCTCTGGCTACCGAAAGACTAACCGCTTCACGTATGACTTCTAGAACCCTATCGTGACGACGCGAGTATTGACCGCTGTCAAGGAGTACCCTACATCCCACCAGCAGATGCTTAGCAGTTCCAACTGCCTTTCCACAGATATAGCAAGTTTTTTTCGGTACTTTTACCCCATCTTACTAAATTACTCTGATCTGGGAGAGTCATCTGGAACGCATTGAGATAGAATTTTAGCAATGCTGGCGACCAATCATAAATTAAAGTGCGCCATTTTAATGCTAATGGGATGCAAAAATCTCCTATGTCTAACCACTCGTTCTGCATTTCTAAATTCATTGCATGGATCTTATATTTATCATTCTCGTCTTGCCGAATAAAAGACTTCAATATATCCGCATCTTGGACTTTCCTATTTGATCCTAACCCCGCTCTGTTACTTTGCGCTCCTATCATAAATTGCTTATGGAATTGAAGTCGTGACTCTAGCTCGGGGGCATCTTCATCTTTTGGGAGCGATGTCACTATGTCA